AGGAGAATAAGGAGAACAGTCGTAGAGCAGAAACGAATATGCACAGATAAGAAGGGAGGCCCAAAGACAATATGAAAATGACATAGCAGCGAAAGCCAAATCTGACCCGAAACTGTTGTACAGCCACATCAGGAGGAAAACAACAGTCAAGGACCAGGTAATCAGGCTAAGGAAGGAAGGAGGAGAGACAACAAGAAATGACCGTGAAGTATGTGAAGAACTCAACAAGAGATCAAAGAAGTGTTCACAGAGGAGACAGAAGGGACTCCAGAAAGACGGAGAGGTGGGGCACACCACCAAGTGCTGGACACAGTGCACACAACCGAGGAAGAAGTGAAGAGGCTTTTGAGTGAGCTAGATACCTCAAAGGCAATGGGGCCAGATAACATCTCCCATGGGTATTGAGAGAGGGAGCAGAGGCGCTATGTGTACCCCTAACAACAATATTCAATACATCTATCGAAACAGGGAGATTGCCTGAGGCATGGAAGACAGCAAATGTGGTCCCAATCTTTAAAAAAGGAGACAGACATGAAGCATTAAACTACAGACCAGTGTCACTGACATGTATAGTATGCAAAATCATGGAGAAGATTATCAGGAGAAGAGTGGTGGAACACCTAGAAAGGAATGATCTCATCAACAGCAGCCAACATGGTTTCAGGGACGGGAAATCCTGTGTCACAAACCTACTGGAGTTCTATGACATGGTGACAGCAGTAAGACAAGAGAGAGAGGGGTGGGTGGATTGCATTTTCTTTGACTGCAAGAAGGCGTTTGACACAGTTCCACACAAGATTGGTGCAAAAACTGGAGGACCAAGCAGGGATAACAGGGAAGGCACTACAATGGATCAGGGAATACTTGTCAGGAAGAACAGCAGAGAGTCATGGTACGTGGCGAGGTGTCAGAGTGGGCACTGTGACCATGGGATCCCGCAGGGGTCAGTCCTAGGACCAGTGCTGTTTCTGGTATTTGTGAACGACATGACGGAAGGAATAGACTCTGAGGTGTCCCTGTTTGCAGATGACTGAAGTTGATGAGAAGAATACACTCGATCGAAGACCAGGCAGAACTACAAAGGGATCTGGACAGGCTGCAGACCTGGTCCAGCAATTGGCTCCTGGAGTTCAATCCCACCAAGTGCAAAGTCATGAAGATTGGGGAAGGGCAAAGAAGGCCGCAGACGGAGTACAGTCTAGGGGGTCAGAGACTACAAACCACACTCAAGGAAAAAGATCTTGGGGTGAGTATAACACCAGGCACATCTCCTGAAGCGCACATCAACCAAATAACTGCTGCAGCATATGGCGCCTAGCAAACCTCAGAACAGCATTCCGACATCTTAATAAGGAATCATTCAGGACCCTGTACACCGTGTACGTTAGGCCCATATTGGATATGCGGCACCAGTTTGGAACCCACACCTAGCCAAGCACGTGAAGAAACTAAGAGAAAGTGCAAAGGTTTGCAACAAGACTAGTCCCAGAGCTAAGAGGTATGCCCTACGAAAGGGGAGGTTAAGGGAAATCAACCTGACGACACTGGAGGACAGGAGAGATAGGGGGGACATGATAACGACATACAAAATACTGAGAGGAATTGACAAGGTGGACAAAGACAGGATGTTCCAGAGATTGGACACAGTAACAAGGGGACACAGTTGGAAGCTGAAGACACAGATGAATCACAGGGATGTTAGGAAGTATTTCTTCAGCCACAGAGTAGTCAGTAAGTGGAATAGTTTGGGAAGCGATGTAGTGGAGGCAGGATCCATACATAGCTTTAAGCAGAGGTATGATAAAGCTCACGGCTCAGGGAGAGTGACCTAGTAGCGATCAGTGAAGAGGCGGGGCCAGAAGCTCGGACTCGACCCCCGCAACCTCAACTAGGTGAGTACAACTAGGTGAGTACATACACTCACGCGCACACACTCACGCACGCACACTCACTCACGCACGCACGCACGCACGCACGCGCATGCACACTCACGCACATGCACACACACGCGCACACACACTCACACACAATCACTCACACACACACACACACACTCACTCACACACAGGAGCTCGGACTCGACCCCCGCAACCTCAACTAGGTGAGTACAATCACACACACACACACACACACACACACACACACACACACACACTCACACACACTCACACACACTCACACACACTCACACACACTCACACACACTCACACACACTCACACACACTCACACACACTCACACACACTCACACACACTCACACACACTCACACACACTCACACACACTCACACACACTCACACACACTCACACACACACACTCACACACACTCACACACTCACACACACACACACACACACACACCACACACACACACACACACACACACACACACACACACACACACACACACTTGATAAAGCACATCAAGAAACTAGAGAAAGTGCAAAGGTTTGCGACAAGGTTAGTTCCAGAGCTAAGGGGAATGTCTTATGAAGAAAGGTTAAGAGAAATCCGCCTGACGACACTAAAGGACAAGAGAGTCAGGGGAAACATGATAACGGCATATAAAATACTGCGCGGAATAGACAAGGTGGACAAAGACAGGATGTTCCAGGGAGGGGACACAGAAACAAGAGGTCACAATTGGAAGTTGAAGACACAGATGAGTCAGAGATATTAGGAAGTATTTCTTCAGTCATAGAGTTGTCAGGCAGTGGAATAGACTAGAAAGTGATGTAGTGGAGGCAGGAACCATACATAGTTTTAAGACGAAGTTTGATAAAGGTCATGGAGTGGGGAGAGAGGACCCAGTAGCAACCGGTGAAGAGGCAGGGCCAGGAGCCAAGACTCGACCCCTGCAACCACAAATAGGCGAGAACAAATAGGTGCACGTGCACACATGCACACACACACACACACAGGAGACAGACAGGAGATCCCAGACCCAGGAAGAAGATCAAATACAGCCTCCCTCACAACTTCCTATAGAAGCCCCCCAACCAGGTCAACCCCAGTGCAACCAAACAGTCTAAACCAAAACACCCATGCCATATCCAATGCCCCCACCCACTGCATTACAAACTCCACCCCAACAGCAACCACCCATAGTTCCTTATCAGGTCTCCCACTTCCCCAGCCCCAATATACCCCCCAAGACCACAGTCTTAGAAAAGAAGTTGAAGGTGTGGTATACAAATGCAGATGGAATAACAAATAAGTGTGAGGAGTGGCATGAAAGAATCAAGGAGACATCCCCAGACATAACAGCACTCACAGAAACAAAATTCACCAGAATAATAACAGATGCAGTCTTTCCACCCGGATATCAAATCCTCAGGAAAGACAGAGGGAGGAGGAGTTGCACTGCTCATTAAAAACCAGTGGGGTTTTGAGAAAATGGAAGTAATGGACGGCATGGGCGAAAGGGACTACTTAGTAGGAACAATCCAGTCTGAGGGACATAAGGTGATAATTGCAGTAATGTACAACCCACCACAGAACTGCAGGAGGCCAAGAGAAGAATACGATGAGAGCAACAGAGCAATGGTCGACACACTAGCCGAGGTGGCCAGAAGAGCACACATGGGGGGAGCAAAGTTACTAGTTATGGGTGATTTCAATCACAAGGAGATTGACTGGGAAAACTGGAGCCCCATGGGGGTCCTGAAACATGGAGAGCCAAGATGATGGATGTGGTGCTGGAAAACCTCATGCTCCAAGTGCAGAGAGTAGCAGGAATATGATGGGAAAAAACAAACTACAAAAGGGGGAACTACTCAGGCATGAGGAACTTCCTGCAAGACATTCAGTGGGAGAGGGAACTGACAGGAAAACCAGTAAAAGAAATGGACTATGTGGCAACAAAATGCCAGGAGGCAGAGGAGAGGTTTGTTCCCAAGGGAAACAGAAATAATGGGAAGAACAGAACGAGTCCTTGGTTCACCCAAAGGTGTAGGGAGGCAAAAACTATGTACTAGAGAATGGAAAAGGTACAGAAGACAGAGAACTCAGGAAAATAAGAGATTAGCCGAAGAGCCAGAAACGAATATGCACAGATAAGAAGGGAGGCTCAGCGACAATGTGAAAATGACATAGCATCGAAAGTCAAGTCTGACCCGAAGCCGTTGTATAGCCACATTAGGAGGAAAACAACAGTCAAGGACCAGGTAATCAGACTGAGGAAGGGTGATGGGGAGCTCACAAGAAACGACTGAGAGGTTTGTGAGGAGCTCAACACGAGATTTAAAGAAGTATTTACAGTGGAAACCAGTAGGACTCCAGGAAATCAGAACAGGGGGGTACACCAACAAGTGCTGGATGAGGTACACATAACCAAGGAGGAGGTGAAGAAGCTATGTGAACTTGACACCTCAAAGGCGGTGGGACCAGACAACATCTCTCCGTGGGTCCTTAGAGAGGGAGCAGAGATGCTGTGTGTGCCATTAACAAAGATCTTCAACACATCCATTGAAATAATGTTGGTAGAATTACCGACAATATGTAAAGTAAAAGGACTCAAGTGCAACTAATGTGACATTTTATTGTGGCAACGTTTCGCTCTCCAGGAGCTTTGTCAAGCTTGACAAAGCTCCTGGAGAGTGAAACGTTGCCACAATAAAATGTCACATTAGTTGCACTTGTGTCCTTTTACTTTACACATCCATTGAAACTGGGCAACTCCCCGAGGTATGGAAGATGGCAAATGTAGTCCCAATTTTTAAAAAGGGAGACAGACATGAGGCACTAAACTACAGACCTGTATCACTAACGTGTATAGTATGCAAGGTCATGGAGAAGATCATCAGGAGGAGAGTGGTGGAGCACCTGGAAAGAAACAAGTGTATAATTGACAACCAGCATGGTTTCAGAGAGAAAATCCTGTGTCACAAACCTATTAGAGTTTTATGACAAGGTGACAGAAGAAAGACAAGAGAGAGAGGGGTGGATCGACTGCATTTTTTTGGACTGCAAGAAGGCCTTCGACACAGTTCCTCACAAGAGGTTACTGCAAAAGCTAGAGGATCAGGCACACATAACAGGAAAGGCACTGCAATGGATAAGAGAATACCTTACAGGGAGGCAACAACGAGTCATGGTACGTGACGAGGTGTCAAAGTGGGCGCCTGTGACAAGCGGGGTTCCACAGGGGTCAGTCCTAGGACCTGTGCTGTTCTTGGTATATGTGAATGACATAACGGAAGGGATAGACTCAGATGTGTCCTTGTTTGCGGACGATGTGAAGTTAATGAGAAGAATCAAATCGGATGAGGATCAGGCAGGACTACAGAGAGACCTGGACAGGCTACAAGCCTGGTCCAGCAACTGGCTCCTTGAGTTTAACCCTGCCAAATGCAAAGTCATGAAGACTGGGGAAGGGCAAAGAAGACCGCAGACACAATATAGTTTAGATGGCCAAAGTCTGCAAACCTCACTCAAGGAAAAAGATCTGGGGGTGAGTATAACACCGAGCATATCTCCTGAGGCGCACATCAATCAGATAAATGCTGCAGCATACAGGCGCCTGGCAAACCTACGGATAGCGTTCCGATACCTCAGTAAGGAGTCGTTCAAGCCTCTGTATACCATTTACGTCAGGCCCATACTGGAGTATGCAGCACCAGTTTGGAATCCACACCTAGTCAAGCACGTCAAGAAATTAGAGAAAGTGCAAAGGTTTGCAACAAGACTAGTGCCAGAGCTACGGAGATTGTCCTACGAAGAAAGGTCGAGGGAAATTGGCCTGACGACACTGGAGGCCAGGAGGGTCAGGGGAGACATGATAACGACATATAAAATACTGCGCGGAATAGACGAGGTGGACAAAGACGGGATGTTCCAGAGAAGGGACACAGACACAAAAGGTCACAATTGGAAGTTGAAGACTCAGATGAATCAAAGGGATATTAGGAAGTATTTCTTCAGTCATCGAGTAGTCAAGCCGTGGAATAGCCTAGAAAGTAAAGTAGTGGAGGCGGAAACCATACATAGTTTTAAGGCGAGGTATGATAAAGCTCATGGAGCAGGGAGAGAGAGGACCTAGTAGCAATCAGTGAAGAGGCGGGGCCAGGAGCTATGAATCGACCCCTGCAACCACAAATAGGCGAGTACAAATAGGCGAGTACAAATAGGTGAGTACACACACACACACACACACACACACACACACACACACACACACACACGTGTCCAAGGTTCGATACCCAGCAAGGGTAGAAACATTGGGTGTGTTTCCTTACACCTGTTGTCCCGTTCACCCAGCAAGCAAGTAGGTACCTGGGTGTTAGTTGACTGGTGTGGGAGGCATCCTGGAGGACATGATTGAAGGACCCCTTTGCTAAGAAATAAATTTTGTATGTTTATTTGTATGGTACCTACAAGTTAAATAATGTAGGCCTTGATGTCAACAAAATTGAAGAATTCTAGTCGGCAGAAACTGAAGCCAAGACAATACTGCATAAGCATCCACAGCAAATCTAATTAATATCAAGAAATATAAATTACAAAAGTCCCAAGGTTTACCTGGAGTTTACCTGGAGAGGGTTTTTGGGGTCAACGCCTCCGTGGCTCGAGTTTCAATTTTATACACAATCACTGGTAAGATCTCATTTTGATTATGTTGCTCAGTTCTAGTCCCCATATTGCAGAATGGAAATAATGTGCTGGAAAACATTGAACAATTATTATTATTATAATCAAGGGGAAGCGCTAAACCCGGAGGATTATACAGCGCCTGGGGAGGGGGGGGATGTGGAAGGCATTCAGGCTTAATTCGGGGAACTGGAGCACAGATCCAATTTCCGAAATCAAGAGCCCCTCACCAACATCAAGGAACCTTCCTTGAGGGGAACATTGAGCAAGATGACAAAGTTGATCACATGTATCTGAAACCTTTCTTACTGTGGTTTGATCCCTGGTATGGGTGGAAACATTAGGGAGCATTTCCTTAAGACATCTGCTGTCCATGTTCAACTAGCAGTAAAATAGGTACCTGGGTGTTAGTCAACTGGTGTGGGTCACATCTTGGGGACAAAATTAACCTACGTTGCCTGAAATGCTCTGCATAACCAGGGGATTTCTATATAGAATGTCGCTGACATCAGCTAGATCTTTATACATTGTATAATGTATACTTGAAATAATAATTATTACTAGGATAGGCAAAAAGCACTGAATTTGCACTCTGGAAAGCTATTAAATTAGGGAGATATGATTGCAGTGTACAAGAGGAAAACAGGGATAAATAAAAGGGCTATAAAAAATATGCAAAAAAGTATCTAGAGGGCCTTCATGTAAAGCTAACATACATGTACCTATAACTGTTAATGTAAATAACTCAGTTTACTTTATTCCTGGTACATCTTTTATTTTAACTACTTTTTCACACAGTTAAGTAACCCTTAATACAAGGACCCTAATGGAAATAAATCACTGACTTTTGGGTTATCCTAGTTAATATACACATATTCTGCTATGTATGATAATTTATGTGTACCTGTACCTGAATAAACTTTCTATTTCTAATACTTACAAGCTCCTTAAAACTAGACATAGGTTATTCAGTGGTAAATTTTAATTATGTATTATTACAACAATGGGAGGTAGCTATTAGCAGACACTCCCTAGTTACCCAAAGAACCTTGGGTAACTTTAAATGTAGGTTAGACAGGTATGTATACAAGGGGATGTGGTGGGGAATTGAACATGCCTAGCATGGTTCTTATACAAAAAAAAAAATTGGTAAACTGTATTAATATTGGTAGAATTACTGACAATATGCAATTGGTAAACTGTATAGCCTGTACAGTACATTATTATTATAATCAAGGAGGAAGCACTAAGCCCACAGGATTATACAGCACCTGTGGGGAGATGTGGAAGGTGTTCAGGTTTAATTTAGGGAACCGGAGCATAGATCCAATTCCCTAGATCAAGAGCCCCTCACCAGCATCAAGGAACCTCCCTTGAGGGGCCTGTACAGCATAGCACCTACAAAGTTGCTTCACTCGCCTGTAGGTGGTCTCTCCGCTAGCCGAATACAGTGGGACATTTTCTTTCCATCAATGGCTCCATTCTGCTTGCATGCATCTCGAGGAGCCCCTTTGCCTATTGGGAGCAAGCCACCCATCATTACATCCTCTTGATGGGGGCGGATTTGATACCCATCTGCCGTGAGATTATCCCTCACCTATGCCTTTAAGGCTTCTGGGCAAGTTGGTAAGCTTTAGTAGTGCCTTTTACTCCTTGCCTGATCTCTGACCAGAGTCCTCTGTACTCCTATGCCATCTCCAATAGAGGCTACCATGCCCCCCCCCCTACTGTCATCCCATGATTAAATATAGGCTAGGCAATATATGAGTGGGTGAGTTGAACCTATTTTGTATAGGGCAATAGGTCTATTTCAGTTCTTCCTTTATGTTCTTCAAGAATAAAAAAAAAAACACAATACTGTGATTGGAACTTATGACAATTTTTCTGTCTGACTTGGACCATTAACTAGTCACTATTACTACTATTGCCTCGCTAACATGCCACTGACTTGTGTCACTACTACTATTACTACTGCTACCTTCTTATCACCTTTACCACTACTGTGCTACTTTCTACTACCACCACCTGTACTACGTACTTCTACCATTATACTACAGCACTACCTTCTCATTCTCATGGCTCCGTTTCCTCTCATATTTTCTGGCTCCCTTCCCTTCGTGCCTCTGCGTTACTAGTTAATGGTCCAAAGACTGAAATGCCGTCATACCTGCAGAGGCATCATTCTATGTGAGGGTTGTGTGTTTATGTTCTTAATTTAGTACTGTATTTTTTAACAAAAAGAATTAACCGTACCTTTCTATTGTGTCAGCCTTGGGAATGGTATGCAATCAGGTTTGAGTAAAGAAAGTGGAGAATAAACTTCTAGGTGAACAGTGACAGCAGCAGTAGGTGTAAGGTGACTAACACCCAGGTACCTACTTACTGCTAAGTGAACAGGGACAGCAGGTGTAAGGAAACATGCCCAGTGTTTCACTCATGCCAAGGATCGATCCCCAGACCTTCAGTGAGAGCCGAGGATGCTACCAACCTACGAGATCCGAGGTTTGATCCAAGGGAAAGGCAGTGCCAATTCCCTGGATCAACAGCCCTTTACCATCCAAGCCCCACCCTTGAGGTTAGAACCTAGAGGAAACCTAAATTTCAAGAGCCCAATGGAAAAGTTACTGTTTTGGGTTATCCTAGGTAATTTATGTTACTATATGCAAAAACAACCATGGGGGGGGGGGGGGAGGTTGAATAATAGCTTTAGGGCATTTGTGTTGAAATCATCTTCAGGAACTTGCAATGTTGCAGAAATGAGTAGGAAGTCCAGGTAGATTCGTTCAAAGGAATGACTAACTAGAGTAGTTCCCTTGAACATATATATACCTGGGCTTTCTAGTCATTTCTACAAAATTGCAAGCTCCTGAAGATGTGATGATTGCAACACGAAAGGCCTAGAGCTATCATTCAGCTCCCCCCCTAGTGGTTGTCTTAGCATCTTGCTTCGCTTGTTTTCAATATCTTTATTTCTACAAGTACATGTTCAAGGTATACAGTCCTAGCTGACATCACCGACATACTACTACATAGAAAGTCGCTCATTATGCTGAGCATTTTGGACAAATTAGGTCAATTTTGTCCCCAGGATGCGACCCACACCAGTCGACTAACACCCAGGTACCAATTTTACTGCTAGGTGAGCAGGGACAGCAAGTGTCTCAAGGAAACTCGTCCTAAGGTTCCAGCCGTACCGGTGATCAGAACCCCGGACCTTAACCTACGTCCACATATTACTATGTAATATATGTATGATTCTTTGTAACGTATTTGTGTACCTATACCTAAATAAACCTCACAGTAGACAGCAGCCAAAGTCACACCCGCAAGCCACGAGCACTGAGCTACAACTGACACTAATTTAGTGGATCTTGACACTCGGTCTATATCATCATGAATGTGGCTACCAGTGGTAACCCTCCTTCTGGGTTGCTACTCTCAACACTAGATGACACTACTGCTAGGTTCCTGGTTCCCTCTTAGACACCGGAAAATTTTATTTAGGAATAGTAAGTTTATTTAGGTATACACAGTTACATTGATTATCATACATAGCTGCATATGTGTAAAGAACCTAGGATAACCCTATAAAGTCTAAGTAATTTATTTCCATAGCAAAGTTCAGACCTCTACAATACAACTGTCCTCAAGGATTTGTTAAGTTATACCATAAATTAAAGAAAGATCCTTGAGTTCACATTACGAAACAGAAAAAGCAAAGGCGATAGTAATTATGGACAAGGTAGACTATAGTGGAAAAATGAACATGTTATTAGAAGACGGTGGATCTTACGTGCCTCTTGAACTACAATATTGTTTATATTATGGGAAAGCGCTAAACCAGTAAGGGTCATACAGCAACAGGGCAATGAGAAACAACTAGCAGTGATCCAAGGTTAGGGCAACTCCAATTCCTTAGATCCAGAGCCCCTCAAGGGAGGTTCCTTGACGCTGGTGAGGGGCTCTTGATCTAGGGAATTGGATCTGTGCTCCAGTTCCCTGAATTGAGCTGAATGCCTTCTATCCCTTTTCCCCCCACCCCCGCACAGGCGCTGTATAATCCCTACGGGTTTAGCGCTTCCCCATGATATTAATTAGATCCAGGAACCCCTTTGAAGGGCTAAAGAGAAGTTCCTGTTCCTTTATAGTAATAATAACTTTTATTTCTACATGTACAAGGTATACAGACCATAGCTGACATCAATGACATACTACTATATAGAAAGCCGCTTGTTATGCTGAGCATTTCGGGCAAATTAGGTCAATTTTGCCCCTAGGATGCGACCCACACCAGTCGACTAACAACCAGGTACCTACTTGCTTGTTGGGTGAATATGGACAGTAGGTTGTTTTTGTTCGTGATTCAGGAAACACGCCCAATGTTTCACCCTTGCTGAGGATCGAACCGCGGACAATATGTGAGCAGGGCACTACCAACTGAGCCATGAGTACACGAGATGTCTGTGTATGATGATGTATGTGTATGATGCTTGTGTAAATGATGCATGTCTATCATGATACTTGATATATCAACATTGTTATTACATTAATTAGGAAGTGTTTTATCAATTGAAGTCATACAGCATCTGTAGTATTGATAGGCACTCAGGTCTGATCCAGGGGAGGAAAGGTACATTTCCTAGGATCAAGAGCCTCTTCCTGGCATCAAGATAACTCTCTTGAGAGGCTATACATTGATATCCAATATATCATACATACTATTTATGTATCGTATATTGAAATTAATGTCATGTTTATTGTAGTTTTACCAGGAAGCACTAGGCTCATCGGAGCCACGTAATACCAGCAGAAAGGAAAGCAATGAGGTCTGATCCAAGACACAACGTATTTTGCTTGAGCAAACTATGTTCCCCTGAACAAATTTGCTTTGATTTCCTCCTCTTGTACAACACTGCATGCCTAGATGTGTTGATTGCAACACAAAAGGCATAGAGCTATCATTCAACACCCCCCCACCCCCAAGTTTTGTTTTGGGTCACCCTGCCTTGGTGGGAAACGGCCATCGAAAAAAAATATATATTTGTTTTCCAACACATGGGCGGTCTCCCACCGAGGCAGGGTGACCCAAAAAATACACACTTTCACTATCATTAACACACATAATCACTGTCTTTGAAGAGGTGCCCAGATACGACAGTTTAGATATAACTCCTAACAGCCAATACCCAAAACCCCCTCCTTTAAAGTGCAGGCACTGTACTTTCCACCTCCAGAACTCAATTCCGGCTTACCAATTTCCCTAGATCTCTATACAAAATATTACCCTGCTCACACTTCAACAGCTCGTCAGGTTCCAAAAGCTATTTGTTTCCACTCCTAACATGCTCACACATGCCCGCTGTTATGTCCAAGCCCCTTGCATACAAAACCTTTTTTTACTCCCCTCCATCCTTTCTTAGGATGACCCCTACCCTGCCTTCCCTTCACTACAGATTTGTATACCCTCCAAATCATCCTATGTTGATCCATCCTCTCTTAATGACAAAACTGCCTCAACCTATCCTCAGCACTCTGAGTAATATAAAACTTTTAGTAGCTGCACACCTCCTCTTAATTTCCACACTAAGAATTCTCTGCATAATATATTCATGCCACACATTGCCCTTAGACATGAGATCTCCACTGCCTCCAGCCTCCTTTTTGCTGCAACATTTACAACCCATGCTTCACACCCACTGTACTCATACATTCCCTTCTTTGCCTCCATGGATAATGTTCTTTGTCTCTACATATACCTCAGTGCACCACCCTATGGTTTACCTGGTCCTTCCTAAACCCATCTGCCGACAAGTGTGTGTGTACTCACCTAGTTGAGGTTGCAGGTTTCGAGTCCTAGCTCCTGGCCCCGCCTCTTCACTTGTTCGCTACTAAGTCACTCCCCCTGAACCGTGAGCTTTATCATACCTCCGCTTAAAGCTATGTATGAATCCTGCCTCCACTACATCGCTTCCCAAACTATTCCACTTCCTGACTACTCTGTGGCTGAAGAAATACGTCCTAGCATCCCTGTGATTCATCTATGTCTTCAACTTCCAACTGTGTCCCATCTCTGGAACATCCTGTCTATGTCCACCTTGTCAATTCCTCTCAGTATTTTGTAAGTTGTTATCATGTCCCCCTATGTCTCCTGTCCTCCAATGTCGTCAGGTCGATTTCCCTTAACCTCTCCTCGTAGGACATACCCCTTAGCTCTAGGACTAGTCTTGCTGCAAACCTTTGCACTTTCTCAAGTTTCTTTACGTGCTTGGCTAGGCAAGGGTTCCAAACTGGTGCCGCATACTCCAATATGGGCCTAACGTACACGGTGTACAGGGTCCTGAACGATTCCTTATTAAGATGTTGGAATGCTGTTCTGAGGTTTACCAGGCGCCTATATGCTGCAGCAGTTATTTGGTTGATATGCGCTTCAGGAGATGTGCCTGGTGTGTGTGTGTGTATATACTATATAATATATATATATATTATAATATATATTAATATATATATATATATATATATATATAATATATATAATATATTAATTATATAAATATATTATATATATATATATATATATATATATTATAATATATATATATATATATATATAATAATATATATATATATACATGTATATATATATATATAATATATAGTTATATATATATATATAATATATATAATATATATATATATATATATAAATATACATGTATATGTTATAATATATATATAATATATATATATATATATATATATATATATATATATATAATACATGTATATATATATATAAATATATATATATATATATATTATATGTATGTATATATATATATATATATATATATATATATATATATATATATATATATATATATAAAAACTGGGTTGCTTAAATGTGCGTGGATGTAGTGCGGATGACAAGAAACAGATGATTGCTGATGTTATGAATGAAAAGAAGTTGGATGTCCTGGCCCTAAGCGAAACAAAGCTGAAGGGGTAGGAGAGTTTCAGTGGGGGAAATAAATGGGATTAAATCTGGAGTATCTGAGAGAGTTAGAGCAAAGGAAGGGGTAGCAGTAATGTTAAATGATCAGTTATGGAAGGAGAAAAGAGAATATGAATGTGTAAATTCAAGAATTATGTGGATTAAAGTAAAGGTTGGATGTGAGAAGTGGGTCATAATAAGCGTGTATGCACCTGGAGAAGAGAGGAATGCAGAGGAGAGAGAGAGATTTTGGGAGATGTTAAGTGAATGTATAGGAGCCTTTGAACCAAGTGAGAGAGTAATTGTGGTAGGGGACTTGAATGCTAAAGTAGGAGAAACTTTTAGAGAGGGTGTGGTAGGTAAGTTTGGGGTGCCAGGTGTAAATGATAATGGGAGCCCTTTGATTGAACTTTGTATAGAAAGGGGTTTAGTTATAGGTAATACATATTTTAAGAAAAAGAGGATAAATAAGTATACACGATATGATGTAGGGCGAAATGACAGTAGTTTGTTGGATTATGTATTGGTAGATAAAAGACTGTTGAGTAGACTTCAGGATGTACATGTTTTTTAGAGGGGCCACAGATATATCAGATCACTTTCTAGTTGTAGCTACACTGAGAGTAAAAGGTAGATGGGATACAAGGAGAATAGAAGCATCAGGGAAGAGAGAGGTGAAGGTTTATAAACTAAAAGAGGAGGCAGTTAGGGTAAGATATAAACAGCTATTGGAGGATAGATGGGCTAATGAGAGCATAGGCAATGGGTCGAAGAGGTATGGGGTAGGTTTAAAAATGTAGTGTTAGAGTGTTCAGCAGAAGTTTGTGGTTACAGGAAAGTGGGTGCAGGAGGGAAGAGGAGCGATTGGTGGAATGATGATGTAAAGAGAGTAGTAAGGGAGAAAAAGTTAGCATATGAGAAGTTTTTACAAAGTAGAAGTGATGCAAGGAGGGAAGAGTATATGGAGAAAAAGAGAGAAGTTAAGAGAGTGGTGAAGCAATGTAAAAAGAGAGCAAATGAGAGAGTGGGTGAGATGTTATCAACAAATTTTGTTGAAAATAAGAAAAAGTTTTGGAGTGAGATTAACAAGTTAAGAAAGCCTAGAGAACAAATGGATTTGTCAGTTAAAAATAGGAGAGGAGAGTTATTAAATGGAGAGTTAGAGGTATTGGGAAGATGGAAGGAATATTTTGAGGAATTGTTAAATGTTGATGAAGATAGGGAAGCTGTGATTTCGTGTATAGGGCAAGGAGGAATAACATCTTGTAGGAGTGAGGAAGAGCAGTTGTGAGTGTGGGGGAAGTTCGTGAGGCAGTAGGTAAAATGAAAGGGGGTAAGGCAGCCGGGATTGATGGGATAAAGATAGAAATGTTAAAAGCAGGTGGGGATATAGTTTTGGAGTGGTTGGTGCAATTATTT